CAAAAACCCATATTGTCGAGGAGTTGTCTGTAGGTGTATGTGTGTCTGTTCGTCTGTACCAATTTTTCATCTTGAGACCGATAAAAGCTAAAAGGTTAAAACTCTGGCAACTTAATTTAAACGCATGTGTGAGCCTCCAACCCCAAAATGGACGCTCTTGTCCAAGTAATTCCCACGTACGGACCCATGAAAGTTTTTGGCGAGTGAGTTGCTAAATCAGGAACCAGAGAAGCTAGTAAGCTGAAATTTTAAGGAGGTGTTCCCCGTCAGCGCAGAACTTAAAGATTTCAAATTCAGCGCTCAGGCACGCCTGGAACCCAGATACAGACAGTGAAAATTTTTAGCGGATAAGCTGCTAGCTCAAGAATCAGAAGCTTTTACTTCTTTACACTCTTTGCTTTTTTGTGGATTTAATAAGAACGGTACTCTGCTAAAAAACTGCCACAGAATGCTAAGGAACAGACGTGTGAAATATGAAGTTCCAAGCCAGGACTCTGCGCTGTCCGGGATGGCCGGAGAGTAAAATTATTCAAGCGATTCCATAGATCGGCATGAAAATTGATTTTACATTTTGTCCCCCTTTCCACTAATCCCACATGCATTCGGGGACTGGTTTTCAAAAACCAATCTTTCCAGCTTTTGTGGCCTTTTTGAATTTCTCGCACAGATAAGTATACCACGCATACACGCAGGCTGCTCTCGTCAAAATGCATTTTTTCAACCATACAGAAAAGACGCACAAAGAGCTGATGTTAAGTTCTGAATTTGTTAGAGGCTGCAACAAGCGTTCCGAATTTGGAAATTCCTGTTTGCTATTTATAACTTTTTTTGTTACAGTAAACTGCAAAACAATGAAAATATCTCGATTAACAGACCAGCGTCCGGAGCACTGGTAGCACCTGAAGCAGTAAAAAGCCCAATAAAAAGATACAGCAGCATTACTGTTCACATTCAAAGTATCGTGCGGCAAAGAACAAGCGCAAGTGTTGCACTGCTGAGCACTCATTGGTCCATTTGTCACTGAAATCAAGAACTGCGATTCTGGATCAACAGGCACTCTTACACGCAATTTTTGGAGCGAACTTCAAAAACTGAGAAATTATGATTTTTATGCGTTTTTGCCTATATGCAAATTGCAAAAACGCATATTGGGACGACCCTGTCTG